GCTCCATAGCATCAATCATAAAATTCAAAATCCTAGTTAATTGATGAACACACTGATTCGCTGAATTAAACTGAAAAGTTCTCTAATAAAAAATAACTTTTTACCTACTAACAATCGAATCCAAAATTTTAAGATAAAGGAATTTAAAAAAGTATTTATCCCAAAAAGAAAAAAAAATGGTTTCAACCTTTAGAGAATTGATATGCTAATACTAGTCAACAACTTGCAAACAAAATGTGTCACCACTAATTAATTAAAAAAATTCTTCACACTTACATAAACAATAATTCTAATTGCAAAATTTATTAGTAAGTGGGAGTTTTTATGTCAAAGCAAGTAGCAGGTTAACATGTCTGGTGTAGCATAATAAGATAATTTGATCACTTAAAATAAAATTAAATAAGGTGATTAGTTGAAAGCAAAGTATTAATTATATAATAAAAAAAGTTTTTTATGCAAAAGCAGCAGGTTAACATGCCTGTTTTGGTATAAAGAGCAGTTTGATTATCTTAAATAATAATTAAATAAGATGATTAGTTTAAAAACAAGATAGAGATTTTAATAATAATGTTACAAAAATTCAATTGGTTACAGATTAATTGCTATAATAAGAGGGAATAGTAAGCTAACATATCAATATATAAATTGTTGGCTATGATATAGAGAGATAATTTGATTATTTTATATATATTTTTGATAAATTAATTGACTTACAAACAAAAACAGAAAATTTAATAATAATGTCACTAAAATCCAAGTGATTACAAATTAATTAACTATCTAATAACAGGGAGTTTTCATGTCAAAGCAGGCAACATATTAATATAATTTCTTCGTTCATTTTTAATTAGCATAATTTTCTTAGAGTCAAACTATAAAAATTTGAATTAAAATTATATATCTTTTTAGTCATATAAATATATTAAAAGTTACAATTTATAATATTTTTTACATAATTTTTAAATAGCTTAAAATTCTCACTTACCATTTATTTCGTCTCTGCATTTAATTAAATAACATATAAATATTTTTCAATAATATTTTTAATAAAAATAAATAAAAAATCTACTTATTTTCGAGAAAATATTTTTATTAGGTTGGCAGAGGGAATTCTTTTTAACATTTGGAGTACACGTTATCGTTGTCTGCCACAAGAAAAAAAAACACATGGAGTTCACGTTATAATTGTCTATCATTTTTTTTTTTTTGTAAAAAAATGATATTATTTGAAAAGTTGATGTAAATAATTAATAAATATTCTGCTAGATAATATTTTAATAAATAATATATAAATATTTTTGGGATAATATCTTTCACCTTATCTTTTATGATATTTTACTGGATAACATATAAATATTCTAAAATAATAATTTTTTTATGAATTCTTTTTTATCGAACGCACCCTAAAGTAGTTAAAAGCTTTTTTCTAATTAATATATTTCTTTTTTGGAGGAAGATAATTTTTTCTTTTAAAAAAAAATAAAAATAGAAAGTAGTTAATAAATTTGACATAATTACTCCATGACAATGATAGGTGGAAAGTTATTGCTTATTGTCATCTTAACATTGACGACATACATTCAATTATTGAAAATAGTAATGAAAATCTTAAATGTGTACCTCTTTTTTAAGTACAAAAATTAGAATCAATATAATTTTTAAGAATGTTATTGGTTTAGATTATCTTCATTAAACAATTTAAATGAAAATATAGTATAAAATATTAAGGAATATTCTTTGTTGTATGAAATAAGAGTATGTTCTCGAAAGACACACAGCTGAATGAAAGTATAATACAATTATTTAAGAAGATATAAGTAATAGAAGAAGTAAAAAGCGAAAAGAAGGATATACGAGACAAAAGTAATATATAAATAACAAAAATAGTACATTAATAAAGTACAGAGGTGACTCGATAATGTTAAAAAAAAGATATGTTTCTTAAGCTCTCAAATTTAAGAGGTTTCATTTGGTTATAAGTTATTATTTTTAGCAAATATTGAATACTGTTTATAGAAAAAGTCAACTTTTCATGAAAAATGAAGAAAATATTAGAAGAAATTTGACATATTTAATTTAGACTACTATATCTTATAAAAAATAATTTAAACAAGATTGGTTATAATATCAATTGAAAACTAGAAGAAATCAATTATATAAAAGTTACTAACAATTCAAGTTTAAGGCCCGTTTGATTTTTGTTTTAGGACACTAATATGCTTGAGCTATCTCTGATAAAGTAAAAGAAAATATCGAAAATAGTATCAAGAGTCATGTCATCAATAAATTAAAATTTTGTCATGTCCTGCTTTAGCACCTTACATTAATACTTCTCCTAATTAAATCCCTTAAACGCTAATCTTTCATATTGAGGCGTATATAAACATGTTCGAATCATCTTAATCTAGATATTCACATCTTATATGTTATGAAGGTTACTTTATCTCATTTTAAATATCTTATATTTAATTATATCTCTCTTAATAAGTCATATATTTCTCTTAATATTCTTATATCTCTATAACAAAAATTATTTTTAATGGTATTAACATTAATAAAGAGTGTTAAACTCATTATCGACATTAGTTAAGTACTATTAGAGCTAATGTCACAAAAGATTTTAAGGACATATATAAAAAGTGATAGTTACTATCATTTTTAATATTAATTAAAAATTAAGTGTTGATAATAATTAATTTTGATATAGTGTATATATGATTGTTTTATTTAAGAAATGTGAAGAATGCAAATTTAAATGACTATTTCAATAAATAATAATAGATAATTTGAAAGGGACAGGTACATTTATGATTTATAAGGCTTTTTAATTTCTCAAAAAAAAAGGCAGAAGTTAATAATTTTTGTAAGATATTGTAATAAATGCCTCCAAATTTCCCAACAGACGAACGAAGTACGAATTGTGATGGAACGATAAATATATTTTATTTATTTATTTTTAATTAAAAAGTATAGGAATTAAATTATTTTTGGACATGAAATCACATTTATTAGAACCTTTATATTTTTGATATGGAATTTATTGATACAAATTCAAATTTAATTGGACTATAAATATTAAATATCGAATAAGAAATAATTAAAAAAAAAGTTCAACTTTCACTTTAAAGTTTAAATATGAACTAAACACTAATTTTAAAATCACTTTTGAAATTATATTGATAAACAGTAATTTTTGTTTAATTCCTATAATTTTTTTTAGGAAAAGGGTTAAAATTGTTCCTGATCTATATAAAATAGATTATTTATATTCTTCATTATATTTTGAAATAAAAAATATTTGCGCCGTTATTTTAAGAGATCATAAATATTCTCAAAAATTAATAACTCAAATTTTTAATGATGTGACAAGCCACGTGGAGCTAATCCCTCCACCTAAGCGTTGCCAACTAGGATTCACTAAAAAAAACAAACCTTTAGCACCAACAATAGTCGTCACAAAAGCCCAGAATATCGTCACCAAAGATTTATTAACATGAAATTCTTATTTTTTTTCCTTCATTGTTTTTAAAAAATAAAAAATGATATCGATTAAGGAGGAGTTTGAAGACACTATATCTTTTGTTGTTATTTCATGTAAATGAATAAAATGGATAATGATGCATTATGTAGTAGGAGATTTGAATCGAAAATTAATTCTGATGATTTTCATAATAATATTGGACATTTTTAATATAATGGTGCAAGTTATTTATTTTATAAAATCTAATTGCAACTGAAAATTAATTATCATTTTTTTAATTAAAATAATAGTTTTTACTAGCAACTGATTGTTGTAGCCGTAGTCACTACAAAAAATTACTCATAACTTTTAGTGACAATATATCAAGATTTTATCACCGTCAAAGGTCAAGTTCTAATAAATCTTAATTGAAAACGCTTAGGTAGAGGGATTATTTCCATATGACACAACACATCACTAGAAATTTAGATAGTTAACTTTTTAAAATATTTATAGACTCATAAAATGAGGATGAAATATTTTTTATCCCAAGATATAATTAAGTATATATGTGAAAATTTTCATCTAAACGCAGACAATAGATTAACATGTCTGGTGTGTGGCATAATAAGACAATTTGATTATTTTAAATAAAATTTAATAAGGTGATTAGTGAAAGTAAAGTATTAATTATTTAATAAAAGAAGTTTTTATGCAAAAGCAGTTGCCTGTTTTGGTATGAAAGAGCAATTTGATTATCATTAATAAAATTAAATAGGATGATTAGTTTTAAAATAACATAGAAATGAAGATAAAAAATATTTCATAATTATAAAATGTATTGTATTCGTGTGGTGGATATATATATCTTTAAAATACATTATTAAATAGTTCATAAAATTTAGTATCGTAACAATAATTTTGATCAAAGTTAAAAAAAATTCAGACCGTTTTCCCAAAAATTTACATTTGAATGTGTAAATTTTTTACTTTTTAAGTTATGGTTCATTTCTAAAACTAGAATCTAAGTTAATAATATTTGCTATTTTTATTTGATGCATTTTTCAACATTTTATGAGAGCTTTAAGAATATTTTTGGATTTTTCTTTTTAAAAATTAAAATACACAAAATATGTTTAATTTGACTTTATCTCATATTTATGTACTTTAACTTCGTGTTCATCCAATTAAGTATTTAATTAAATTATAATAAAATTATACAAGTAAACACATACCAAATCTCATGTAAACTACGTGTACCTCACGCATCTTGCAAGGTAAAACACGCAATTCTCACGCAATTACATGACACGTTCACCTTACACGCTAAATAGGACAAACATACATCTCATGTAATAATTTGTCATGTAAAATAAGTGCATCTCATACGATTTGAGAAATATATATATATAAAAAATATAATATACACGTATAATTTATTAGATAAAAAGACTAATTTCGATATAAGACGGAACTATTTTTGTCTTCTTTTTTTTCTTTCACATCCAATAAATCCCACTTCAATTTTGGTCAAAAATATAATCAAGTTCGTATACAAAACCCAAGAAAGAATCTTCCCCAAAATCCATTGTGGCCGTCCCAATATATATACAGTTGGATTTTTGTTTTTTGCATCTCTCTGATTCCCTTTTATCTCTTCCCCCTTTTCCTCCCTTCTTATATAGGGTATATACCCCATATTATGCCTACAGCCTATATAGCATAAGCCACCATAGCTAAATTTGGTGAATTTGATGATTTGGGTCGGTTAAAAATCCAATCTTTATAATACCCTTTTGAAATCTCAGCTCAGATTTGTAAGGTACCCCTTCAATTTTGTTTTCTGTTTAGAGGGTTGTTTAGTTTTCTCTTTCTTGTTGTTGTTGTGATTGAATCTTGTTATCATCTGTTCTTTATGTTTATGGTGTTTCAGTTATTGCATTGTTGTTGCTGTTTTCTTATTAGTTGCTGTGTTTTCTGCATTGTCATTAGCACTTTTTTGTAACTACTTTGATTTGTTGTACTCGAGTTAAGGGTGTGTGGAAACAGCCTCTCCATTAGGCAGGGGGTAAGGTCTGACTCTCTACTTGTGTAATTGAATCTTGTTATCGTGTCTGATGTTTATTGTGTTTTGATAATTGCATTGTTGTTACTGTTTGTTTGTTGCCATTTTCTTTTTGCTCATATCTACTTTGATTTGGTTTATTTTGCTTCGTGGGATTTCATTGGATATGTTGTTGGATATGTTGTTGTTGTTGGAGTAATTGAATCTTGGGTTGATTAAGATATGTATGATGCACTTTTTAGGTGGATTGCTTACTGGCTTTTGGATTTTTGTGTTTTTTATACTGCATTGGGAGAATTGTTTAAAGTTATTTTGTTATCATTGTGTCAGCTTTTCTTTTAGCCTTACTTTTGGTCCTATCTTTGTTTTTGATGATGTGTGCTTATTTCTTAATGTACTTTAAACATTGGGTTGATAAAATATCATGATTTTCAGTGTATTTACATATACATATGCAGAGTTATATATCTGAAGTCTTTTTCAGTCTATAGGCTTTTCTTGCTGGTGTATAGGACATACTTATAGGGGTTAAGGTATGTGCATCAATTCCCCCCTTTGATTGCTTCTTCGTTAGATTTTGAAGTTGAAACTTGAAATTTTTCGAGCGGAGGTCCCAGAAACCCAAAACCTGGTCTTAGCTAGTGTTTAGGACATACTATGACCAAACACTAGCAAATTCTGTGTTAATGCTTCATCTTGTTTTGTGTTATCAGCTCTTAGTTATCAAGTTTTGAGCTGTCTTTTACTGAGTTGTGAACTGAAAGTTTTACTGGTTCTTGTTATTGGGAATTAGAATTTGGCTTCTTTGATTTGACCTGTAATTTTCGACAATTAGTTCGACAGTGAGGAACTTGTTCTGGACTTGAATTCCAAACAGGGAGTGGTTTTGGTCTCTTGGGTGCTGTTAATTGAGAGTTCAACTTGAGCTAGACTTCAGTTTGGAAAGGTAAATGCCATCGAGGTGTTGCTGTTTTTTAGTGGAAACTTCATTAAGGAATTCCTTGCTGTGATTGAAGAGTTCCCTTAGGCTGCTTATTTGTGGTTAGATATGGCACGAAATATTAAATTTTTGCTTTTAGATTTAAACTTAATGGAGTTGAGAATTGTTACAGCTCTCGAGTAGAAGGCTCATGCAGTTGATGTGAATGAAACTTTGCACTGCTGCTGCTGAAATCTATATTTGTAGTTGTTTCAGTTCAGACTTATTGGGACTGAACTAAGTTTGAGTCTGGTTTAAGTTTGGAAAGTATTTAGTTCCACTGTTGTTTATTTTGATTAACGATTCTGGAGCTGCGAGATTTTAATGAATCAATGCAGTATCTAAGTGCATCTGCTTTTCTCTGTGGAAGTTTAGTCACACATTGTACTTATGAAAATGTTCTTTGTTGTAGATTGCTCCAACTAGATGAATGCCATAAGTTGAGGACTGATGACACAAATACCTTCGTTATTAACTTTCTTTTTGTTGACATAGTCGATGAGATGTAGCATGTTCAGATTTTAATAGAACTCGGCAGAGGAATTTTCGAGTGCCTCCAGTCTATCACTTGTATTACTGATACAAGTCTACCGCTTGTCATTTGAAATATCTAGATCCATGTTTATAGTTGCTTCCTCGTAGCTAGTGACACTGATTAATTTGTTTGAGCTGTGCATTTGTTGTTCTGCTTGTCGTTTTATGTATAAAGACGGAGTACTACTAGCTCTATCTGGGCTTATCATGATTTAGAATGAGCCAATGACTCATGTGGGACACATTTAGATAGTTAGACTCATTTATCTTGTTACTGAGTGACAATTTTATAAATCTGTTTTTCCAGATGGATACGCAGAATCTGGAACATGGACAAGTAATTGAGGTGAGTGTTGACATAACAGGTCAAGAGAAGGGGACTAAAATCTGTGGTTCAGGACCGTGTGGATTCTCAGATGTTAACACCATGTCTAAGGATGCACAGGAGAGATCAGCATCTATGAGGAAACTGTTCATTGCGGTTGTCCTATGCATCATTTTTATGGCTGTCGAGGTTGTCGGAGGTATTAAAGCCAACAGTCTTGCAATTTTGACGGATGCGGCTCATCTATTGTCAGATGTTGCAGCTTTTGCAATATCCTTGTTTTCACTCTGGGCATCAGGATGGGAGGCTAATCCACGCCAGTCCTATGGGTTTTTTAGAATTGAGATACTTGGGGCACTAGTTTCTATCCAAATGATATGGCTTCTAGCTGGGATCCTTGTTTACGAAGCCATTGCTCGACTTATACATGATACAGGTGAAGTTCAAGGTTTCCTCATGTTTGTGGTGTCTGCATTTGGATTAGGAGTGAACCTCATCATGGCACTCTTGCTAGGTCATGATCACGGCCACGGCCACGGCCATGGACACAGCCACGGTCATGACCACGGCCATGAACACAGTCATAGTCATGAAGAGCATGCTCATAGCCACGGTGATCATGAACATGCCCACGGTGAGCATAAACATATACATGGAATTAGTGTTAGCCGACACCATCACCATAATGAGGGACCTTCAAACCGAGATCAACACATCCATGCACACGACGCTGACAACACTGTGCCTCTACTTAAGGATTCCTGTGAGGGTGAAGGTGAAAAGAAAAAGAAGCAGCGGAATATAAATGTTCAGGGGGCTTATCTTCATGTATTAGGAGATTCTATTCAGAGCATAGGCGTCATGATTGGAGGAGCTATCATATGGTATAAACCAGAATGGAAAATCATTGATCCCATCTGCACTCTCATTTTCTCTGTCATTGTTCTTGCCACAACCATTAGGATGATTCGGAGTATTCTTGAAGTATTAATGGAGAGCACACCTAGAGAAATCGACGCAACAAGGCTTGAGAAGGGTCTTTGTGAGATGGAAGAGGTTGTTGCAATCCATGAATTGCATATTTGGGCGATTACAGTCGGGAAAGTACTCTTGGCTTGCCATGTCAAGATTAAACCTGATGCTGATGCTGACATGGTGCTGGATAAGGTTATCGATTATATTAGAAGGGAATATAACATTAGCCACGTTACCATTCAAATAGAAAGAGAGTAGTGTGGAGGTAAAGTTTGTTTGCCTGTTGTACTCGTCATTGGCTTCTATATTTTTTCGGATATTAGTTGAAACAGTAAAACATCATCTGGCTAAGCGATTCCAGTATCTGTTTCGTTTTAGTAAATCATGGTCTTTTAGCATGTTGGCTTGCTTTACTTCTCCATGAATCAATATCCTCAAGTTCAGTTGAACTTCACTCTTCAGTTTCTAAAGTATTTTTTTTTTTATGTTCTGTTTGGTTCTTATTTACAGCATAACACTATGGTTTGAAATGGAAAGTCAGTGTTAATGTTTTCTCCAGACCTTAGCTAAGTTTCATCCATGTTTATGATATTAAATAACAACTATTTTATTTCTAAAAAAGATAAAGTCGTTATTTAAAATTGAGTTATGATGTTTCAAGTCACATTTTTTGTATCCCTAATCAAAAGAAAACGACTCTTAATTAGTCTGTGAAAACAAAAAAACTGATAAGCAGATGGAAAGATATGTATATATGTATATATATGTGTATGTGTGTGTGGGGGGGGGGGGAGGGTATTCCCCAATCTCATGGTTCTAACACGAATATATGTTTCTTATGATTCAGTTCAACTTTGTTAAATTATTTAAGTCTTAATTAAGACGTCTAGTGACGATCTCAAAATAATGAATTCTTATTTGTTTCAAAAAGGTACATTTTTAAAGGTGTATAGTCTAAGATGAAATTACTTGATACGTATTATTAAATAAAAGTGATAAAAATTTATATAATTAATCAACGAAAGAGGATTCGAACATCACGATTATATAAAGGAAATGTCATTATCTAATTGCTAAACAAATTGGTATTTGAAATATCAAAGATAGTTTCAAGGAAGCTCTAAAAATAATAAGAAGTTGAACAAATTTGACTTTTTTGGAATAGTGAAAATGTGTGTGAGAAACATGTTTAATTATATAAAATTAAAAGAAAATTCGAGCATAATTAATTAATGGATTATAGGATCATCTTTATGTAAAGTTGTCATTTTTTAAAAAATAATATTTTTTTTTAAAAAAATAAAATTTTCAATAATTTTAAAAGATCTTACTTTGATATCTTGATATGATCGTTTCTAAAGAGTTCAAAATTAAAATCTTTATTAAAGAACGAAAAGATCTTATTGAATTCATCATAATCTTTAACAGTAATGTTGTACATTCAAATTTTACTATTTCCACACTTATATATTGTTAATTTTATTTTAGTGGTCTCACAGAGGGTACTTGGCCTAAAGTACTGAAGTACTTGGGACAAAATCATGGTTTATTGTAATAATCATAAGAAAGATGGCCAAATACATAAATAAATTTCTAAATTTGTTGGTTTTTTTTTCTTAGGTATCTTAACTACGTCATTTTTCAATTAAATCATTGAATCATCTATAATTTGTTTCTTTAAAACATTGTTGGTTGAATTTGATCAGTTTTTCTATTGTAAATATCTTCAATTGTGTTCGAATTATAATAGTTTTGATTGAAGGAATGAAGACTAACCGTGTTAGTCTCATTTGTTTTCTAATGTGTTCAAATGACTTGAAGTAAAATACAATTATTCTCAAACATTTTCACTATCAATTGGACTAATGATTTGTGGAACAACATATATATCCTCTATCAACCCCCTCACAGATCTGGTTTCACATCAGACAACAATGTTTGTTTTAAACGAAACAAATTATGGAGTTTCAACGATTCAATAAGAAAACGACGTAGTTAAAGTACTTGAGGAAAAAAAATTCAACAAGTTTAGAGATCTGCTTGTGTATTTGGCCTAAGAAGATATTTAAATGATACTTAACTTAATCATCATTTTACTTTAATGACGGAGTCAGAAATTTTACGAATAATATTTAAACATTTTATCACAAAAACTTATTCGAAAAGGGAGTTCTTTTTGTTGATACTGAAATTTGTACATGTATTGTATTAAGCGTTTATTAAATTATTTAATATATTATTTTACTTCTATATATAATATTTTTCTCCGATAAAAGATGTCCAATTAAATATCCTGACAACCACGTAGCTCCGATCTTAAAACAATCAATTTAAAAAAGTAAAAAGATTTTCTTTTTTTTTTCAAAAGCAAAAACACAAAATATTTTTGAAATAAATTGAATTAGTCAAAACAATTAATATTAGGGACCAACCATTTTTTGTAATACCAACTCAAAAGTTAGTGCTCACATGTGCTGTGCTACTTTCAATACAACCTGTGTTCTTAATTTTTGCCTAAAATACAGCTTGTAAATTGTATTAGATTAGATCTTGATTTAAAAATTAGGTGAAATTAATTAAAATTATCTCTAAACAACAACAATATTTAAACTAAATAAGCACCATTAAATATTAAGATTTTGCACAGATAACCCTACCCACCAGGGTGTGCATTAATCGATTCGTTCAATTCAATTTTACGACTTATCGAATCTGTTTATCAATTTTTAGTTTTTAAATATGTTAAAACAATATATATATCAATTTTTTTATCCTTTACGAATCAATTTTCAGTTTAATCAATAAAAAAATATTTATAAAATAATTATATGGCTTTTACAACAACTTAGCTCAACATGATAAAATGATAATAATGTAACTAATACCATAACATATTTTTTAATCAGTTTATGATCCTTTACGATTTGATTTTCGATTTAATTAATAAAAAAATTTATAAAATAAATATATAATTTTTCCAACAATTTAGCTCAACGGGATAATAATATAACTTTATATAATACTCATAAAATAAAAAGAAAAGAACTATTTACATTATACAACATAAAAAAAAAAAAAGAGACAATAATATGTATTAAATGTTAAAGGGCAAAAGGTAATAATCAATAAGGTGCTAATATTATTATTAACAATATAATAAGTTAAAACGTGATTTAATATTATTCTATGTATTTATCTGAATTCAATATCTTCGATATAAAATAAAAATACAAGTGAAACGTTGTTGTAATTTTGATAAATATTATTTGGAACCTTTAATTTTAAAGGTACAATGAATTTAATACCAATAGTTCGTATATAGTTATAAATTCTATCAATTTTAAATTTTGAATTAGAAAAATTAATACTCCTAAAAACTGAAATTTTTGCATGAGAATAAAATAAAAAATATAAAAGAAAAGAAAAATTTGTCCAATATCTTTTTTTTTCCCTTCATAATTCTAATATATGAACACGAAAACCCCAAAATAAATAAATAAATAAATAAATAAACAATTTTTTGAATCATTGTTTACAATAATTTTGTACTTTATGAATTAATCATATTAATTCAAAAAATAATTTCAATCAAACCTTAAACAAAACGACGTCGTCATATTCATCACTAGTAGAACGAACCAAGTTCTTCTTTCCGGTGAGATCCGACCCGCCGACGCCGGAAGCCGGAGAAGAGCACGTCGATGAATGACCGGAGGCACCGGCGTAAGCGCCGGCGGCCAACGATAAACAGCTTTCGCTCCAGGATCTTCGAATTGGGTAAGATACGTTGGTACAACGAGAAGAATGAGAGCAATTTCCACGAGATTTATGTAGTTTACAGCTACAGTTCCGGTGGTACGGTCTCTGTTGAATCCCCATATCGTGACCGGAAATACATCCGTCGAATACTCCCCGGAATAGGCCGTCGCCGGCAGCTCCCGTAGCCATTTTTCAATTAAATAAATCTCGTGAAGGGAGAGAGAAATTGAAAAATGGCTAAAGGTATAAGAAGTGTTGAAGGGAAGATATAGGGGAAATGGGTGGGGGGTGGGGGTGGGGGTGGGGTTAAGTTATTTTGGCTTTTTTAAAAAAATGGTCAAATTTGTCATGTAATAATATCCTAAATTAAATAAATTTATTATAAAGTTAAATTTTTGGTCTATTATTACTATTATTATTAATCTAAGAAAATAAGTTTTGTTTTTGTCCTTGATTCCTAATGAAGCTTCAAGATGAGAATAATTTTTATAACATAAATGAATAAAAAAAAATTGATATTAAAGAAAATTAATAATTCTTATTATGAGACCATATAACGATATTCTTTTTAAGTATTAGTTCAGAGAGAAATATTGAAAACGCTTTTAAATTTAGCACGAATTATTAATTCTATTTTCGAACAGTTGACATCCTTAAAAGAATCTATCTACTTGACTAACTGAACTTAAATACACTATTGATTTTAACATATGGATGAAATACGTCTCTAACTCATACAAGAGTTTGAAATCGCTAATTATATCATGTGACAATTTGATTATTTGATGGTGTATTTAAGATTACTTAATCAAGTATAAGAATATTTTTAAGAATGAAGATAGTTCAAGAATGCAATCAATAATTTACGTTAAATTCATAAGTGATTTCAATACTCTTATACTTAAACTCAGTAAATATTAGTAATTAGATTAGTTATAAGACAAAATTATATATTATTTTATATAGAGATTAGTTATACAGAATTTAATTATATATACTAACATTAGCAATGAAATCACCTCCGCCAATACTGTGTAATGAATCTCTACTGTCAATCTAACAATCACCTTTATCATCATAATTAACACAATCGCTAGCTATCACCAACACATCGTCAATCATCACACATTATTAACCACCGTTATTTTGGTGGTGGGGTTGGGGTGAGTAGATCATTATGGTTTTAAAAAGGATCAAATTTGTCATGTACCTTCCAAAATTAAATAATTTCAGTTAAATTTTTGGTTTATTATTACTATTATTAGTTGATCACGTAATGACTTTTTTAAGTGTTAATTAATGTATAAAACTTCTCTCAAACATGTTTTATTTATATAAAAGATAAATCTGGAATTTTTTTTTTCTCCATAAAATAGTTGAGCACTTGAAGTATCCTCTTATTAAGATGAAATTTCATTATTGAAAAAGAAAAAAGAAAAAAGAGGAGGAGATAATTTGATTAGGAAAAATATATTAGTAAGCTAATAATGTAAATGGTTTTGATCTTCAAGTCATTTAAGTGATTACTAAATTGACAGTAAAATATGATTTAAACATATCTTGATTATTCAACTAGAGCAAAGTCTTTATATAAATAAGAGGTTATTTTTGTGTGGAAAACTTTTATGATTATTACGCTACTCACAATTATCATTTATTATCACTAATCATCTTTGTCATCATGATTATTATTAT